TGTGATCACTGATTGGCCAATCAGTGATCACATGATCGGGACCTCACACAGAGGTCCCGTACAGGGATCGGTGTTCTGCTGTGTCCGTAGGACACAGCAGGCACCGGATCGCGGTGCCACGTGCTCCCAGGGAGCGTGCATAGTCCAAAATGGCGGGCGCCGTTTATGAACGGCAACCCGCCCCTGCACTGCCACCGTCTGGCCGTTTACATGGGCCGGATGGGAAATGGTTAAATGATGCACCAAATGGATCTGCTGATCTACTATTCAAGATATCACTAAAGGCCCAACTCCAGGAAAAAATTGTTTTCCCATGCAGTGGAGCTGTGCCCACACTGCATGGGTTATTTATTTATTACAGGTACTTATATAGTGCCTTCAATTTTTATGCAGCACTTTACCTAACCCTCAAGGGGCGTACAATCTAAGGTCCCTAACTCACATTCATACATACACATACTAGGGACAATTTAGACAGGAGCCAATTAACCTACCAGCATGTCTTTGGAGTGTGGGAGGAAACCAGAGTACCCAGAGGAAACCCACGCAGGAACAGGGAGAACATGCAAACTCCAGGCAGGTGGTGCCATGGTTGGGATTCGAACCAACGACCCGAGTACGCCAGGCGGAAGTGCTAACCATTTAGCCACTTTTAGCTAATTTTTTTTCTAGGGGAGAGGAGAAAGGAAATATACTTACCTAATCCTCTGATCACCTAGCACAAGACTTGCACTCCCACACTCCAGCAGTCTTGACTCGTGGACTGTTCCTGACGTCATCACACCCAGAACAAGCTCTGTAGACAAGGAACAGTCTACTGCTGGACTGCAGGGGAGCACCATTTTCTGGAGGATTGAAAGAGTATACACTTGGATCGGGAGAGTATACACTTCGCACTCACCCCTTGACAAAATGAGCAGTTGACCCGGGCAAGTCAACTTACCATATAAGCCCTGAAGAAGGAGGACTGGTGAGCCCCTGAAACATGTTGGCTTAGTATTGAAAAAAATCAAACCATCATCTCAGAAGTTCCAAAGTACTTTATTATCCCAGCTAAATATTTGTGAAAAAAAATTCTATTCTTTAGAAATGGAAGAATATTCTTATACATGACGGATACGGTAATAGAGAACACAATGATGAACCTTCTAAAATATATACAGTTTTCAGCGGGTTGTAAAGAGCCTATGAGGTAGATGGATACACGTTATGACATCATCAGCATTGCCCCTTGACATCCTGCTATAGCACATTGAGGTAAGTCACTGATACAAATTCTCATTGTAATTATCAGTCCACAGAAAATAGAGATTTAAAGCTATAAAATCATTAGGTGTCTTTTTGCACCTCCCATGAAAGTCTCACTTTCTCTGTTGTCATTTTTAAAGTATAACTAAAGGCAAAACCTTTAGTTTTTGGATGGAATGGAGAGGGATTAGAACATCTGTCGGGTTATCATTGCTACCCGTGCCCCCATTAGGGAGATTTACCTTCTCTGTTTGTCCTCTTTATCATTGAAAGTGAAATTAAAAGAAAATCCCAAAATGTTGGGTTCTCCCCAGAACAGTAATATATTTTTAAAAATATTTTAAATATATTCTGCAGATTTTTTTTAACATATAAAAAAGTAATTTTAACATAGATTTTTACATATATTCGTAAATGCATTCCAAAAATGTAGATCTGTATTTTTAAAGACATACAGTATATTTGAAATGTATTTTAAAAAATATTTTGAATATATTTTATAATAAAATTGCATTTCAACATGCAGTGTGTGTGTGTATATATATTTATTGAAATATATTGAATATGGCCAAAATTGTAGCATTTCAATTATATGGCAATATATTTGGGAAGAATATTTTTAAAATATGTTTCAAATATATTTTTATTCCATGTGGGTGTGTATGTGTGTGTATATATATATACACATACATACATACATACATGTATAGGTAAAGGACACACAGTGAGCGCTCTCAAAGAAACAGCAGCTGAACTTCCAGGATAAACGCATGTAAAAATCCTCAGTAAAACATATACATATAAAAATGCAGCGCTGTAAAATGATCAAATCATGCAAATCAACACAATAATAGTCCTGAAAAGGTGCTCATTAATTCCCAGTGCCAATGGAAAGAATGCAAACTAACCAGAAGCGCATTTAAAATACGCATGTGTGTAAGAAATCCTGGAGATTCCCCTCTCTCCCTCTGGTCAGAAAATGGATATGTGCTGAAATGGATGACGATAACGCCCTCTATTGGGAATACGAAATCCTGCAGGTCAGGAAGCTCCCAGGTCAGGAAGCAAGGTCCTTGCTCTACCTCAGAAGAAGTGCGTGCGCACGAAACGTGTCAGAAGGAGCCCGTGGACGTTGTTGACACTACACCGCCGCTGCCATGTGGAGGCCCGGCGGCCACCTATAATTTTAAGAGGGTCAGTGGGTCACTTTCACTTGCCACCTGATTATATTTTTTACTTGTTTTTTTTAAATAAATTGAAGTAATATACTACACTATGAGTATCTCTCTGTGTCCTCTGTGAGGGGTCTTTCTCCCAATTTCACAGCCACAGAGTGATTTCAATCCCAGCCCTGGTTCCATTGAAGAGGAATATCCTATCCTGGGAGCTTCCTGACCTGCAGGATTTCGTTTTCCCACTAGAGAGCGTTATCGTCATCCATTTCAGCACATATCCATTTTCTGACCAGAGGGAGAGAGGGGAATCTCCAGGATTTCTTACACACATGTGTATTTTAAATGCGCTTCTGGTTAGTTTGCATTCTTTCCATTGGCACTGGGAATTAATGAGCACCTTTTCAGGACTATTATTGTGTTGATTTGCATGATTGATCATTTTACAGCGCTGCATTTTTATATGTATATATATACACATACATACATACAAATATCTATATATAGATACATATACACACACACATATTTATACATATACACACACATACATATATATATATATATATATATATATATATACACACACACACACACACAGATATATATGTGTGTATATATATATTTTGTATGTATGTGTATATATATGCGTGCATATATATATATATATATATATATATATATAAAAATTTTGTGTGTGTGTGCATACATACACATATATATGTGAGTATATATATATTTGTATGTATGTGTATATATATGCATGTATGTATATATGTATAAATATGTGTGTGTGTATATGTGTATATATATATTATATTTGTGTGTATATATGTATGTATATGTGTGTGTATATATGTATATGTGTATGTGTGTGTGTGTATATATGTATATATTATGGCCAAAATTGTAGCATTTCAAATATATGTCAATATATTTGGGGAGAATATTTTCAAATATATTTTTCTTCCATGTGGGAGGCCTTCCAGATATTTATTGCATACACTCTCATACACCTACCCTGATATACACTGTAGGTTAAACCTTTCAGCAGACCGTTATCTGGTATCCATACACGTAACAAAATGTGATCAATCTAGGTACAAGCGATCATTATTGATTAATATATGAAAAAAACCTCCCTGTGTTATAGTCAGCTGAATCTACCCGAAAGGGTAAGTGCACTTTAAGACAAACGGCACTTCTTTGTTACTTGCCCCGACCTAACCCACCCCCCTCCTGCCCAGATGAATACTTACCTTGAGTTGACAGCCATGGGCTCTGGTGTTTGTTTACATTCAGCTGTGCAAGACTCCCTCTGCTGGCCAGAGCTGTGCATTACAGGCCTATAGTCTTGGGATGGGGTGGTGTCTCAGGATCAGAGACAAAGAAGATGGCCCCAGGGCAGACTGTGTGGCTGTAATGTCCAGTTTCGACCAGGATGTAAACAATTACTGGAGGCCATAGTTGTCAGATCAAGGCAAGTATGAATCTGTGGAGCGTGGGGGTGCAAAAAGAACAAGTGTAATTTTTTTTAAGTGCACTTTAACCTTTAATCTGAATTTTTATAAAATGTAATGCAGCCAGCTTCAGAAAACTCCTGAGGCTGGCTGCATGCACTGAAAACAAGATTCTGATTTCTTTCAGAACTATAGGGGTCCGATGTACGAACCTTCAGCTATGGGACTGAAGGAAGTATCAATGGACTGTAGGTGTGACATCACCACACTTGTGCCCCATTGAGAATTATGAGGCCCTCTGCAATGGTGGCAGATGAGACTTGTCGTTTTTTTATTCACTGATTCCCACACAGTCACAGCAAAATAATGACAAGAACCCGCAAGAAGAACAAGACCGCAAGAAGAACAAGACCGCAAGAAGAACAAGACCTTGATTCTGCAAGTTGTTTATGGGTGGAGGGCTGCAGACCGTGACCATATTATACCTTAAATATGGGTGTAACATGAAACATGGTGAGAAAGGTAGATCTCTCTTTTAAAATGTGTGAACATCAAATCAAGTAAATCAGATATAAGTTTGAAGAGCCATAAACACGGGGATCTTGCAGACCTCAACCCAGAACATGCCATGCCGGGTTTTGTAGTTCCTCATCATTTGGAAAATGATGTCAATGGTTGTTATAGAACAAAATTTAAAAAAATGCTGACATCCGTTTGGCCAGTAAAATTTGTAGAATCATAATACAAAGCTGGACAAATCCCAGAGCCTGATAATAAATATGTCTGAACAATTATAACTTGTGCCAAATTTTTTGGGCCTTCTCATTTTCATCTCAATAAAAGCTTCATTTTAGTGACTCATTAAATAAACCTACTGTCTCATAGGTTAGCCTGCTTGGCTCCTGAGTTTTGCATGAATCCATTAATGCTTGCTATCAGGTTACTCTTTTAAAGTAGAGATTAAACTCTCGGTTGATCAGTTGTATTTCCTGTTTGAGAGGCCAGCATGTTGTGGAACTAAGTAGAGTTTGATCCATAGGTAAACAGAGTCTAGTTAGGCCTCCTCGTTATCAGGAAGTCTTTTCTCCAGTGCTGTAGATGGATTTCCGTTTCTCTTTTTTTACCACCACATAAAAACAAATTTGTAAAAAAAGTCATAGGTCTTAAGCCGAAATCCTTTGTCAGCTACATGGGTCATATAGGATACTTTATAGCCCTTGTCTTCAATGTCCACCTTAATACAATCCAGGAGGTCAGCGATGCTAGGAGACGCCTTCCATGGACCAAACTTGACCACTGATTCTTTGTCCATATCAAGTGTGTTTAGGGCATCTTGGCACTTCGATGCATCCTCATCAGTCCTTACGATACACACAAAGACATTGGAATGGCGTGATGCAACCACCTCTGCCCTAGCAATGCGAATCATCACCTCAATATTCTCATGGTAGTTGGGGACTCGTGCCAGAAACTGCTTCCTTCCCACCTGTTCCCCAAAGATCTGAGGAGTCTCTTCTAGTTTCTTCACCAAGGGCTCGATCTCGTAGAATAGAGCCTCCTTGTAGACTTCTAGGATGCACTGGTTGGGGACTTGGCCATTTCGAAGATACTCCAATATGTATTTGAAGTATTTTCCATCCCGGTCGATAAAATACCTCCCCTCTGAGTCAGTGCGGAGTTTGGGTTGCCCGTTGAACATCTCAAACAGCTTGGAACCCTGGTACTTCTTCAGCGTTTGCAACGTTGTGGTGTAGAAATCACCACCAATGTTTAGCTGTACAATTGGGGACATCTGTAAAGGAGATTAGGAAACATTACAATATGCTTGAAATTATACAAATACATATTTTCTACATTCTAAAGCAGGGGTCTCCGAACTTTATAAACAAAGGGCCAGATTACTTTCCTTCAAACCTTAGGGGGACTGGACCAGCATCAGTGGGAGTAGACCATGTCTCAGACTGATGGTCATATGCCCATCATTGATATTAGTTGGAGGAATAGTGCCCTATTGTCGGTGGGGTTGGTTTACTAAAACTGGAGAGTGGGAAATCTGGTCTAGCTCTGCATAGAAACCAATCATCTTCCAGGATTTAATGTCAAAGCTTAACTGGACAAGCTGAAGTTAGAAGCTGATTGGATACCATGGACAGCTGCACCATATTTTGCACTTTCCAGTTTTAGTAAATAAACCCCCGTGCCTCATTATTATTATTATTATACAGTATTTATAAAGTGCCAATAGTTCACTCAGCGCTGTACATTACAAAGGGGGACAGAACATGTGACAGAACAATAACCAATACAATGCAAAACATGAGGGGATCGAGGGCCCTGCTCTTTCGAGCTTACAATCCAGGAGGGAGGGGATAGTGGTAGAGGAGGAGATAGCTGTGGGGGATGGAGTGGTAGGAAGAGTGGAGGAGGTCGGCAAGTTAGCAGGGGGTGGGGTGGGCTTTCCTGAAGAGATGGGTTTTCAGGGTGCGCCTAAAGGAGAGGAGAGTAGGTGATAATCTGATGGGTTGGGACAGGGAGTTCCAGAGGATGGGTGACACCCTGGAGAAGTCCTGGAGGCGGGCATGGGGGAGGAGAGACCAGGGAACTAGAGAGAAGGAGGTCTTGTGAGGAGCGGAGTGTGCGTGTTGGGTGGTACTTGGATATTAGGTCAGTGATGTAATTTGGGGCAGTATGGTGGACAGCTTTGTACGTCAGTGTTAGGATTTTGAATTTGATCCGTTGCACAATCGGAAGCCAGTGGAGGGATTGGCAGAGGGGGGTGGCGGAAACGGAGCCCAACCCCTCTCAACCCCCACACCTCCCCCCCCTCAGTCTCTGCCCGAATCACACACCCACTGAGCGACACATCAGACCGGATGCCGCTCCGCCTCTCCAAAACCGAGTTTCTCGTCTTCCCCCCAGCCCATGCAGACTCCACCTCCGCAACATCGCCAAAATCCGCACGCTCCCAACCCCAGAAACCACCAAACAGCCCACCCACTCCCCCATCACATCACGACTCGACCACTGCAACTCCCTCCCCACTGTTGATGTCAGTACCTCATATCAGTGTGAGTAATAGAGCCTATTATCAGTGGAAGGAACAGTGCTCTCAAGGGCTGGATTAAGGCAAGCAAAGGGTCGCATCTGGCCGTCGGGCCACAGTCTGATGACCACTGTTCTAGAGTCAACTAAATGTCAATGTGTTTTGCAGTGTAACAGTGACAATAGGGGGAAATGTTTTGCACTCTTGATTGTGTAAATGATATACTGTAGAGTGCGGAAAGCGAGATGGACAGATCATAAAAACTCAACTGTGCCCACTTTCCCTGTATACTCAAATGAAGTTAATTTGCATTCCAGTATCTGACACCCTTAATTATAACATGTTTGGGTCCCACATCTGCTACTCTAAAGCAGAACAAATGTCCTGCTGCAAAACTTGAAGATTTTTGGCAGAGGAGACAAGCAAAGTCTCTGTTGACCCATAAACTTCACCCCATACTGATAGTAGTCCTATTACAGTGTATATCCTTGCTTATTCTTCGCATGCCGAAAATAGAGCCAGGTTCTGGGGCAATATAACTCCTCAGCATGCGCAAATAATTAAATTGTCAGTAGCCATCCAATGGTTGAAGCGGAAAGTCTCAGGACCTGGAAGAAGTGGTGGAGGTGTTGGATGGAGCAGTGACTGCAGTCTGGATCTGTCAATGCTGGAGGGGGGGCACATCGAGGTAAGTGTCCCACGGTATGCGTGTATGATGTGCATACTTGCACGTTATGGCCAAAGGCTCACCCACACACAGCAGAATTTACATAGTTCCTCTTCAAGGTGACGGAAAGCAAAGCTTACACATAAGAACAATAAGGAATCAAGCGAACGCTTATGCACTGAAAAGGAACCACAAACCTACACAATTCAGACAATATAAAAAACAAGCGCAGTGCTCTATAATATATAAAGTGCAAATAATATACCATAAACTGTATTGATAAATTGTCCTGATTATAGACAGCAATGTAATATCTAAATAGGATGGTGCTCCAAGTTATGTAATATATCTCAAGTGATAGTGACAGTCCACTCTGATGTTGATGGACAGATATCTATATCCTGATGTGCATCAAAGTCATCCGGTGATGTGCAACCAATAGAAAGATTTCCCACTCACCAGAAGCGCAATCTTAATGCGCATGGGTCAAATATGCCAGAAGCGGAGGTTCCCCTTAAGGTACAGCCTGTGACTGGATCCTCTCCTCTACAGATGTGGGTGCTAAAGATGTCACTCAACCATGCCCCCTCAACTGGATATGCTGTGATAGGATCTGGTCAAAACAGGCTCCCCTCTCTGGTCCTGGTAGAATACCTAGGGTCCTGGATGGAATTAATTGCTCGGTGAAGAGCAACAAAGATGGATAATTTTCACACGTTTTTCTTTGTTTCTGTTATAAAAGTTTGCAAATAAATAATTGTTCTTCATAAATTTAGGCCGAGATGTATTCTACTACATGTCTTTGGTGAAAAAAACCCAAATTAGTGTTTGTAGGAAAAGAAAAACTATGGTATAGATCTGAAATTGATCAATCCTGAAGTACTGACAGCCAATCCAATTTTTTCTTGAGTTTGAATGTCAGAATAGTACAGAAAGTGTCAGAACAGTACAGATATCCCCCAATTCAAAAACAGATATGGTAAATAGATACAGATATCCCCCAAATGTCAGAACAGTATATCCCCAAATCAGAACTGATATCCCCCAAATGTCAGGACAGTACAGATATCCAAAATGTCAGAACGGTACAGATTTCCCCCAAATGTGAGGTCAGATATCCCCCAAATGTCAGAACAGTACAGATATCCCCCAAATGTCAGGACAGTACAAATATCCCCCAAATGACCCCTTTTTGCAGAGTAGAGAGTCCGACGTACTTCATAAGAGGCATGGCGAGTTTTTTGAAGTTGTATTTTTTTTTGTCATTTTTCGGAAAATTAAAAAAATTTATTTTCACTATTTTTTTTTACATACGTCACCCGTGCAGTACAGCGCCATCATATAACTGACATGGCGGTGATCAGGGACACTGACTGGTGACAGTATGAAAAAAATATATATATTTTTTTAATTTTGTTGTAATTTTTTTCATTATTTTAATTTTTTATTACATTTTTTTTCTTTTTTTAAGATTTTTTTTTTTCATAATTTCACTATGTCCAAAGTAGTACAATGTTACCATAGTAACATTGTACTACTTTGGGGAAGTGATCAGTATTTGTTTTTTTTGTTTTTTTTTTTTACACAGTTTGCTTATAGCAAAGAATTACTTTGCTATAAGCAAGCATTTACCTGAATGACATTGATTCATTCAGGGTTATTTTTTTTTTTGTGCTTAGCTGTGATTTGGCCACAGCTAATCACATGACATGTGCATGTGATTAGCTCTGACCATTCACAGCTAGGCACTAGTATACAATGGATGGCATGAATGAAGCCATCCATTGTATACAACTGTCATGTAACCTGCTGTGATTGGTCACAGCAGGTCACATGGTACCGGCAACGGGGCCGATACTCAGATATGTCATCGGCCGTGTCCGAGGTACACAGCCGGTGGCACAGATCGCGCCGCTGCGCGGCTCTGCAAGCGCGTGAACTGCGCATGTGTGGGAGTACACCAAATGGCAGCCTCCCGGAAAGCTAGTGCATTTTTCCGCACGCCAAACGGCTATTGGCTGGGCGTCAAATGGATAAGTTTCAGCAAAGGTGAAACATTTTTAATGTGATTGTACAATCCAAATGCACACATTCCTGCCTTAAAATGGCTGTGTGTATAAGTGGGTGCTGCAGCGACCGTCGGCTGGAACGGAACAGAATCAGCAAGGGAGAATGTCACTAGCACACCGAGGATCACCAGCATGGGTCCATGCCTGATGAGGGGTTCCTGCGAGACTCCAAAACATTGCCTTGCTGTAACTATGTGATCGTTTATTAAAACGTTTGGGCCCATATTGGTGATCCTCGGTGTGCTGGTGACATTCTGCCTTACATTTTTAATGTGTATACATTTCAGTTGCTAACTGCAGATGGTAAGAAAAATTCAGCTCAAGACCATGTGAGAGTCCTCATTTATTCTGAGGTTGGTAAGGCCATGCAGCCTGTAGAGGGAAAATCCAACATATAAAGAAAAGCTTGACTGTTCGAATGCTGTTCAAAAGTATTTTAAAATGTCGTTTGCTTTTAACTTTCAGGCTTTCCTGAACAACAACCACATACAGTTGTGTTCAAAATAATAGCAGTGTGTTGAAAAAAGTGAATAAAGCTGAAAATCCTTCTAATAGCTTTTATTTCCATCCACACAAATGCATTGGGAACACGACACATTCTATTCCAAATCAAAACATGAAGAAAAATACATCAAATTTGTGTTGTTCCTCTAAAAAAATTGAAGAAAAGTGAATATTAGACGGTTCAAAAAAATAGCAGTGTTTGTATTCTTCTTTACAAACTCAAACATTCACTATATAAACTGACAAATGTTTGAAGATTTTGCTTTCCTTTGAATGACTTCATGAATATTTGGTTGTATAAGCACTGTTTCTGAGAACTGCTGTACATCTGTGTTGTATGGAGTCACCCAACTTCTGGCCCCTGTGATCAGGTATTCCAGCCCAGGATGATTGGACGACATTCCACAGTTCTTCTCTATTTCTTGGTTTTGCCTCAGAAACTGCATTTTTGATGTCACCCCACAAGTTTTCTATTGGATTAAGATCCAGGGATTGGGCTGGCCACTCCA